CACAATACACATGTTAAAAAGCTATTTATGATATATATATGATGTATACTTTCTAATAATAGACAACTTCTGGTATTGGTATCAAAATATAGAAATAGAAATTTTTCTAAACTTATTTTTGTTTATCTGTCAGGTCTGTCGGGTAAAATACTACGGCAGTGTGTTAAGATAATCCATAGTATTATTATTTGATCGTTTTTAAATTAGATTTTTTTTCAAAAATATCTAGTATCTCTAATTACGAGACGATATGTATTGTGCAATCGGCTAAATAAAGTTGTGACTTGTAGCCTCGTTGATTTATCTTTTGTTCTCTTTTCGGTGAGTCTGACGGAGTATAAATTGAATTTTTTGCTTGAATTCGTTGGTACCGCTGATTATTAAACGAGGGGTGTTATTTACTAATTTTTACTTTATCTCGTATTTTGATAATAATAAGATTTACTTTATTCAAGTCTAATTTTTTTTTTTTTATCTTTAGAACAGTAGAAAAACAAGGATTATAATTTTAAGTTTACTCAGCTTGTTATATTCTCCACTACCACTAACTTGCGTTTGACTAATGTATATCTCGGCAAGGATACGTGAGTTGCACTTGATCTAACGTATATGTCTATCTTCTCGCTCTCCCGAGAAAGGTTGTTTCTGATTTTTTTTTTTTATTTTTTTTTTTTATAGTAAGTTGACGAAGCTTCAATTGTTATAAGTAATGGTTTTATTATACTTCTGTTGACGAATTTTACGGGGTTAGAGTTCAAGGACCACCAAAATTACAAAACAAAAAACTTTGTTGTTTCATGATAAAAATGTTGACGAGAAATGTCCTGTGGAGGTCGTTGGAAGATCTTATCACAAGTTTTACTCGAATGGACAACACCTCCGGGCTCTATTGGAAAGTTTATCATGAACATTTTTTTTTCTTTCATAAAAAAAATATTTTTCAGGAGTATATCCACGATGGCATCAATAACTCATTAAAAGTGTGATAATTGTAGTAATTTGATGTTTATTAGATGGTAAACTATTGTCTC